AGAACTCTGTACAGAGGCTCCTCCCCATTCAGAAACTGGATGATAGTAAATAGTTTCTGAATGAATGGGAAGCCTCTGTGCTTTCCATTAATTTAGAACAGAGGCTGCAGAGAAAGAGATTGAGGACTTTGTGTCCTCAATTTCTATTTTGTATTTTAAAATAATTTGTTTTATTCTATTTCTGTTTAGACCCCCTAATATTTTCCCAAAGGCCCCCCAACTGTAAAAAAAAAAAAATAAATAAATAAAATATAAATATTAAAATTAAAAAAAAAAATCTAGATCATAAAACATTGTTTCCCTTAAATATCATTAAACTCGTGGAATTTTCCTCCCAACAAAAAGAAAAAATAAAATATAGAAAAATTATATACTTTATTACAAAGGTTTAAACTCGTCAGGAGTTCCAAAAACGTCTTATTTACAGACAGTGCCGGGCTCATCAAACCCGAATGGAAACATAAATAAACATTTACAAAACAAAAGAAGCTCATAGCCGTTTTACTGACGACAAGTCAGCTTATAATATATATACACCGGTATTTATATATATATAAAAACAATGACAGTATGTACACATGACACAGTTAAGTAGCAGAATCTGAACAGACGCCTCCCGGCAACCCCTCCCCCGTCTGTACCAGGACTACGGAAGCGGTGCGAGTCTCTAGTTTAACCTTTAATACTGAATGATCATCGAACTTGAAAAGGGTCCATGCAGGCTTCAATGTTACACACAGTTCAGAGCCGGGGGGGCCGTTGATGGCCCTTGGCTCGCCCTGCCACCACTCGCTCCGACGGAAAGGCTCGGCGGTCTCCTTTTGCGCACGCGCGCGTTGGAACAATCACATCACAGGTGCTGTGCTTTGGGTTTGTTTTTGTTTTGTTTTTCGGTGTGTTTTTGTCACTTTCCAGCCAGGAGTTTCAACCTGATATGATTTCTCGTTCGCCCCGAGGCGCGCACTCTCGCTCTCTCTCTCGCTCTCTCCCCCTCCGGAGGGGCCGGTCCGTTCAGAACGTCTGCAGCTGCTGCGTTAACATGAGCTGGCAGCCGCTGTTGACGTGATTCATCACTTTCTGTTTGAGCTGCGCGACCTGCTCCCGCAGCATGTTGGCCGTGGACGCCAGCTCAGAGTTCTGCGACTTCAGGTTCTTGACTTTGTCCTCCAGCCGGGCGATGCGCTCCAGTTTTCTCTTCCGGCACTTGGAGGCGGCGATCCGGTTCCGCATGCGTTTGCGCTCGGCTTTGATGCGCTCCTGCGACTCCATGTTGATGGGGGACATGGGAGGGGTGTCGCCGGGCATCTCCGGCACAGTCTGGGGCTCTTCTTTCAGAGCCTGTAGCCGGGGGTGCTGGGCGGGGAGGGGGGGGCTGGCGTGGTGCTGGGACACGAAGCTCAAAGCGCCTCCGTTGAAGGTGGGGGCGCTGGCGATCGGGTTAAAGTTGTTCAGGTTGGCGTAGACCGGGGGGTCGCTGTGCAAAGTGCCGTTGTATCCAGTGTTGCCAGCTACAGGGGGGGCAGGTGGCAGAGGTGGCAGTACGGTGCCGGCGGGCGGCTGCGGGGCCGGCGGGGCGTTGGGCAAGGTGTGCTGGCTGTGCAGCTCGGCCAGAGCCCTGACGAAGCCCTCGGCGAAGCCCTCCTGCTCGTCCGTGACGTTCCTGGGGCACAGGAACGTGGTGGGTGTCGGCGTGGTGGTGATCATGCCGTTGCTGGACTGGATGATCAGCCTCTCCAGCTCGGGCGAGGCCAGTTTGAGCAGTCCCACGTCCGGGGAGGTCAGGAGGTCGGCAGCCTTGTTCCTCAGGTGAGGCTTGATGGCGCTGCTGGGGTCGGACAGGTTCAGGGTCATGTTCTGCTTCAGCACCTTGGCGCTGTATCCGTAGCCCACGGGCTCGGGCTGGCTGAAAGCAGCGCTCAGGGCATCGTCGTAAAAAGTAGGCTCCATCCTAGCGCTCATACAAACAGAGCCGCCGGGAGAACTTTCTTCCTTTGTCCGTCAGTAGCCGGGACTCCGCGGATAAAGCGTCCTGCAAGAGGAAGGAGGAGAACGTCGTTACTGGCTGCACACAAGAACCATTTCACTGCCGTGCAGAGTGACGGGTACAAGAACTCGGTACAATGCAACAGTAAGAACTCTATCGTAGCTAGATACAATGTACCAAGAAGAGTAACTAGTCTGAGTGATCTAGATACAATGTAAGAAGGATAGTAACTAGTCTACATGAACTAGATACAATGTAAGAAGGATAATAACTAGTCTACATGAACTAGATACAATGCAAGAAGGATAATAACTAGTCTGAGTTATCTAGATCCAATGTATGAAGGATAGTAACTAGTCTACATGAACTAGATCCAATGTATGAAGGATAGTAACTAGTCTGAGTGATCTAGATCCAATGTATGAAGGATAGTAACTAGTCTGAGTGATCTAGATCCAATGTATGAAGGATAGTAACTAGTCTGAGTGATCTAGATCCAATGTATGAAGGATAGTAACTAGTCTGAGTGATCTAGATACAATGAAAGAAGGATAGTAACTAGTCTGCATGAACTAGATACAATGTAAGAAGAAGAGTAACTAGTCTGAGTGATCTAGATCCAATGTAACAGTAAGTGATCTAAACCCAATACAAATGTAACAAGAAGTAATAGAAAGTTTTGTTTATAAACCCGATACAATGTAACAAGTACTATCAGCTATTCCTCATGAACCTGATACAATGTAACAAGACGTGATGGTAACTATCCTGCATACAATGTGATAACAATAGTAACTGTGTCCTGCAGGAGTCTGATACAATGTAACTGCCCAACAATTCTGACTTCTTTCTGAACAATTCTGACTTTTTCATTGCAGACTCCTACCCACATACCTGACACTTGACAGCCACCAACTTTTCCTTCAGTGTTAACCCCTTACGCCCCCTTTTTGCACACCCCCCTGGCAGTAATATAACAAAAGCAGCCGCCTCACCCTATGTACCGAACCCGTCTGCTTTTCCCATCCCACCCTAAAAAAATCCAGGCAAAGTTCTGCGCTGTTAACGGTCCTCCAGGACTTTTCGCCCCTAAATGTCACCCCTCTGAGGTGCCAACGCCGCTCTCCTATTGGTCAGGAGTTGCAAATTGTCTCCCAAAAAGTCCACAAAAGCTTCCCGCGCTGGTGGGATTCAAAGGTGACAGCTTGGCACCCCCAATTCTGCGCTGGAGTGACCCAGTGCCAGCTTCTGATTGGTCAGGAGCCTCAAGAGGAGCCAGAACTGTTCTAAAAGTGATTTAAAGTGAATGGGAGTTCTTTCCTCCAAATTCTGCAGCTGCTCTCCTATTGGTCAGAAGTTTTGGATCCCCTTTTAGAAAGTTGTCTGCTGCCAGTGTCACCTGCTGAGCCCTCCAGAAGCCCCCCCACCATCCCATTGGCTGGAAGTTTGGAAAGTTGTGCTGGAGCCGTCAACGGCTGAGCTGGCCCCGGCACTGTGGACCCCCTGGATCCCCGCTGAGCTGCCCTGCTTCCTTACTTGTCCAGCGGGCAGGGATCGTCCAGCAGCTCTGCCTTCACTACGACTCTCTGAGCTCCGAACGGCGCCGCACTAACTCTTATCAAGAAGATTCTAACTGTCGCGGGGGATGACGGGATGAGGTAATGCAGATCGCCGTGGCGCGGTGCATTGTGGGATGACGTAGTGCTCGCTGCCTACGGAGGGGTCGCCGGTCTCCCGCCTCCGCTGCTGTGCTGCTGCGGAACCTCTTGGCGGATTGACAGCTCCGCTGCGAGGACATCCTGGGCTGCTGCACAACCTGCGCGCTGTGCCAAGCGGGCCAGAAGTTCCCCAGCAGCGACCCGCGGAGGGTCAGCGGTGCTGGAAAGCTGCTGCAGAAGCTCTTCGCTGGACTGACAGCTCTGCTGACACTCAGAAAGGCAGGGGCAGCTGCTGCAGAACCTCTTGGCTTGATTGACAGCTCTGGAGATGCTAAGAAGTCACTAGAAGCTGCTGCAGAACCTCTTGGCTGGGACTGCTGTGTGATTGACAGGCCACTGGACTGCTGCAGAACCTCTTGGGTGGCACCGACAGCCCTGCTGACACTAGGAAGTCGCTAACAACTGCTGCAAAACTTCTTGGTTTTGATTGACAGTTCTGGAGATGCTAAGAAGTCACCACTAGACTGCTGCAGAACCTCTTGGTTGGCACTGACAGCTTAATGCCGCTGCAGAACTTCTTGGCGTTGAGTGACAGCTCTGGTGGGAGCTCCTCATAATGGGCACAGCAGGTGGGCGGAGCCGGGAACTCAGCACAGGGATGGTGGGAACCCCTCATAATGGGCACAGCAGGTGTACAGACCCGGGAACTCAGCACAGGGATGGTGGGGGCCCCTCATAATGGGCACAGCGGGTGGGCGGAGCCGGGAACTCAGCACAGGGATAGTGGGACCCCTCATAATGGGCACAGCGGGTGGGCGGTGCCGGGAACTCAGCACAGGGATAGTGGGGACCCCTCATAATGGGCACAGCGGGTGGGTGGAGCTGGGAACTCAGCACAGGGATAGTGGGGACCCCTCATAATGGGCACAGCGGGTGGGTGGAGCTGGGAACTCAGCACAGGGATGGTGGGGACCCCTCATAATAGCCGTAGGAACGGCACAGACGATACACAGAGCCGCCTCCCAGTGAGCGAGCGCCCGGCCCCGCTATCTCGCAGGTCGGGTTTCAGAGGCGAGACGGAAAGTTACACAAAGTTTTCTCTTCCTCGTCCGCGGACTGATCGCCTCGGGAGCTCGCTTTCTTCACGGGGACCGGTCACCGCCGGTCCAGAGCAAAGATGTGCAGAAGGCTCTGGAGCCCTGGTGATCCTCCTGTTATAGGGTGACAACGCTCTGGTCTCTGTCTACCAGTTATGCTCCTGCGTTGTCACCTTGCTTCCAGTGGAGGCTACAAGTGTCCGTTTCAATACACAGACATGGTCTACTGTTGTCACCATCAGGAAACCCTCCCTGAGAAATGCATTATACATAGACAGGGTATTATAAGGTGACAATGCTCAGTCCCTGTCGCCCAGTTGGGCTCCTGCGTTGTCACCCTGTCACATGGGCTTCCAGTGGAGGCTACAAGTGTCCCTTTCAGCACACATTACACAGACATGATCTACTGTTGTCACCATTAGGAAACCCTCCCTGAGAAATGCCACATATATATAACCAAGGAATTATAAGGTGACAACGCTCTGTCTCTTGATTGTGCCCCTGCGTTGTCACCCTGTCACACGGGCTTCCAGTGGAGGCTACAACTGTCCGTTTCAATACACAGACGTTGTCACCATCAGGAAACCCTCCCTGAGTAATGTCGTGCGTGTAGACAAGGTATTATAAGGTGACAACGCTCGGTCCCTGTCTCCCAATTTGCGTTGTCACCGTGTCACGCAGGGTTACTACGGGCGGTAAAAACAGGCGGTTGATCTGCGTCTATTAAAGTCAGTGGGAGTGTGCCGCCACCGCGACGCACGCGCGTGACATCATTGTACGCGGCGTCATGATGTGTAATAGGGTCGCGCTCGCTTAACTGCCTGCGACCATCTTGGTGACGGACGCCGGTAAAAAAATAGGGAGTGTTCATCCGGCGGGATAAGGTATGGCGTCGGGTCCCCTCCTCTCTCGTGCAGCTGTGTGGGGGGTCTCAATCCGTAACCCAGTGCCCGACTTTTCAGAGAGGGGGTGACACCAAAATGACTGCTAGTTATTTTGGTGTCACACCCTCCGATGTTGTCACCCGGGCCACACCCCCTTTGTGACATCACTGCTGTGAACCGCCTCCGAAAACCGGTCCACCGATTGGATGGTATGAATGAGGTCTTCCTGTAGCAGGCCAAGCTTCAGATTGACCATAGAACACACCTGTGGGGGGGTTCAGAGGGGGGTTGCCATTGCGGCTTTTATTTATTTGGTTTAAACCTTTTTTCCAAATAACAAATAAAACTTTATAAAGTGTTCGCCGGCGCTGAGGTTTCATTTTGTTTGTTAATAGTTATGTATGTAGCAATAAAGATGTTATTTTAACTTCCTCCAGAAGATACGACGGATGGCATCCTCCATGTATCTATCGGTTTAACATCCACTGCCATGAAGCCCCCCCCCCGAATGGGAGGATCAATAATTAGGGGAGGGGGGGGGGCCGTTGCCGTGTGATATTATTTAAAGGGGCCAGCACTTGATTTTTGTTTCTCCCGTCTCTCTGGAGGACATGACACCGAGAGGACAATGTATCTTTTATCACTCTCTTGTCCTGGAAGCGGAGGAGGAGGTTGGGAGTTACTTTGCGGTCGAAGTCCATCGTCCTTATCGCCCCGGGGAGCAGAGCCGTAGAACTCTTGCCATGGTTACTTTCCACGGCGGCGCCTCCTGCTTGCGCGGAAAGGGTTAAGGGGGCGGGCCCTCTGCGCCGCTGGCTTGGGGCTGCCGCTGTGATTGACGGCCATTGTGCCCAGTCCTGGGAGAGAGGGAGATAATGACCATATATTGTGCATGGGGGAGAGTCTGGGCCCCTGGGAAGGGCCGCTCAGACCTTGAGGTCCAGTAACCAGCAGGGCGTTAACCCTTTCAGGGGCTGTGAGAACTGGATGGAATAATGTGACGCTCGTCATCTAAACAGATCCCAAAACCCGGAGAAGGGAACTAGAATAAACGTCTTATTTATGGACGTCAAATGTTCAACATGAAACTAAATAGAGTATGGAAGGGGTTAGACCACGGGTGGGCAACTTCGGCCCTCCCGCAGTGCTTTTACTACAAATCCCAGCATGCCCCTAAACTCTGGGGGTCATGCCTTGTAACTGTCAGTCTTGCAATGCCTCATGGGACTCGTAGTTTCACAACAGCTTGTCCAGCCCTAGGTTAGACCCTCTGCTAGGGGAGATTCATCTTCTATAGTTGTCCTGGTGACCCTGGTCACTGAGACAGGAAGTGAGGGCAAAGTAAACTTTGTATGCTTGTCACCATTACAGGAACAGAGGGGTAGAGCTTCCAATGGGGACACCTGTTCCAGCGATGACTGTCTAAGAGGGATTCCCCTTACAGGGCCGTCTTTAAAATTGATTGAAGCCTGGCAGACATTTTCTTGGGCCCCCAGAACCCCTACCCGTCGCGCAGTGGTGTCACAAGGGGGGTGCGGCCCGCACCCGGGTGCCACCATTGGAGGGGTGACACCAAAATAACTGAGTCATTTTGGTGTCAGAGAGCCCGACAGTGTCAGGAGAGAGGAGGGGACCCGGCGGCATACCTCATCCCGCCGGCTGAATGCCCCCTCCTCTCTCTGTCGGTGTCCATCATGAAGATGGTCGCCGGCAGGCGTTAGTAGGACGACCGCGCATGCGCGATGATGTCATCGCGCACGCGCGGCAACGTCACACACATGCGCAATGAAGTGACGGCGGGGGTGGCCCCCTGGTCTCTGCCCCCGGGTGACACCCAGCCTCGTGACGCCCGTGCTGCCATGCCCCCTACCTGCCGTCAGAGGGAGACGTGACCCGGCATGAGATGTGGCGTAAGGCAGGGGCGGAGCAACCCTATGCAATGCCAATTGCGTAGTAAACAGAACGGTGCCGTGTGTGCGGACTCAAGGGGCGGCTGCTTTGGGCCCCATAACAATAACTGGGCCCGGGGCAACTGCCCCTTTTGCCCCACAATAAAGACGGCCCCGTCCCCCTTACCTTGCAGAGATTTTCCAA